CGTGTACGTGTTCGTTTTCCATCATCACACGTTGCGCTGCACGCTGACCAAATCGACCACAGGCCCCACTGAGCTACACTGGTAGCAAACGCTGTATGAAAACAAATATAAGTTCGTGTGAGAGATTGTTAAAGATCTGCAAACAAGTTGTGAAAAGGTTGTTGTCAAGCCGATATTAGGGAGCTTAAGCATGCAAGACGGCAAAACGAGGACGGCGGCCAAAACAAATTCCTTCAAATAAATTATAGTAAAGAAAACTTGTCGTATATTATAATTCGTATGAATTTAACACAGTATAAGAAGCTGAAAACATCGACTTTATGTTCGGGAAGGGTTATACTGACCGAATTTTAAGTTGCACTTGTTACGCTTTGAAATGCAGGCGTTGTATAAAAGATGTGAAAATCTGTAATTTGCCGTTCACCGGTTGTAAACAGAGCGACGACCACGTCTGAAACTCCCCTGGGACTTTAATTATTTATTCACTTTTCACTGACTCATTGTATTGGTTGTCGTCCTACATGCTTAAGCTCCCTATTACGACGTGCTCGCACTGCTTGTTTCCAGTTGTTGTGACAAGTCTGGAACAAGTTGATATCACCTTGGTAATATGGTGACGGTAACAAACTTGTCACCAACAAATTGTTCCAACAAGACCAACATGGGATGTTAACAACTTGTTACGTGCACACGATATGAGACTTAATAAAACAACTTGTTGCGAGTCTGTTGGCTTCATCAACCTTGTTACAAGATGATAACAACTTCTTCCAGACATGTCAACAACTGGGAACAAAAAGTTCGACCACATGACAAGCTACGAGACTTTTACGCGTGTAATACAGTCAATATAGAACTTACGGATTGAGATAAATACAACTACCTAAAAAATACAAGGAGAACTTTGACGTTTCGAGTTACTAGTCAGGGGACGGTTGTATAAAAACGTAATTAGCGCTAACTGTAGTTAGCGTTAATCACTGTAGTTAAATCCTTAACTATAATTAGTTAACTACCTGACTTAACTGCGTTGCACAAAACGTAGTTAGTCGGATAGTTAACTAATCACGTAGTTAACTGTGCGTGAGGCTTGCGTGGGGCGTTTAAACACAAAATTACATAAAGTAAGCGGGAGTAACGACCGCTGACACACATTTTCAACATGATTGTGGACTCGTATTTTACAAATAGGCGGGAATTTTATTCAAAACACTAGAAAACAGTGAAAAATAAACAAGAAAACAAGGAAAAACCGCCACAAAAATCATAAAAGAATGCAGTTTTTCCTTGAGATGTCTACGTTAAACCAAGGTATAGCTGTTTGGCAATTATATATCAGTGTTTCTTGGTGTAATGGACCATCCTTCGTCTTGTAATGGACCATCCTTCGCCTTCGTCCTGTGCAAAAATATGCTCTGTTTTCGTAAAAACACCAAAGCGATAGCGTTTGAATAGTTTATATTGTCAGGAAACATTCACAGGGTAGCGATTGAAAATCTCAGGTAAGCGTTGCTTTTCATTATTGTTTTACTGAAAAATGTTGTTCACTCCTATACAAACGCCATTTTTAACTACGTTTTGAACAGTTAACTACCCTTGGGCATAGTTTATAACTTTAATTACTTTTTAACTGCAGTTAAGGCTAACTACAATTTTATACAACCGGCTTAACTATGTGATTAAAGTTAACTATTTTTTAAGGCTTTTTAACTACTTTTTAACTGCAGTTAGCGCTAACTACGTTTTTATACAACCGGCCCCTGTACTCTCCTTACTAGGGAGTTTAAGCTTCGCGTTCAAACGTCAAATGGCAAACGCCAAGGGAAGAAAAAATTTACGCTACGAGGTAATAAATGGGAAATCAACTTGCTATTTTAAGACTGTGATGTATGATGATTCTTTTGAGATAAGAACGAGAAGATGAAGCGAAGAAGTTAGGCAAAAGTTCTGCCAACAAAATTCGACTATGCCGTTTGCCGTTCCCGCAAACGTGAAGCTTAAACTCCCTGGTAACTTCCCAACGAAGGACCTTCGCTGGGAATTGTATATCTCAATACACATTTGTCTTGTTATCGTCTACTAATAATAGCGTGGATCAGGAAAATTACATGAGCTTTAATTTATACTAGTGAATATAAAAGCCATCACGTAACAAGATGTGAACCACTACCACTGATCAGCTAAGCTAGCTCAAACACAACACAGCACAATAGAATCTTAAACAATGAAGTCCAATGTAATACGACATGACACGACACAAAACAACGCAACACAAAGCGATACGACACAACACAACGCAACACGATACGTCACAACACCACACAACACAACACAACACGATACGTCACAACACCACACCACACAACACAACACAGCACAACACAACACAACACAGCACAACACAACACAACACAACACAACACAACACAACATGAACACAACACGACATGAACACAGCACGATACGACACAACACGACACAACACAACACAACACAACACAATACGACGCGACACGACACAACACAACACAACACAACACAACCTTACCATCACTTTTCGTCCGTTTGATGTTTGTCACGGTTTTTAAGTTCAGAAAATCTTGTACTGTCTCCTTCAGTTTAGTCAATTGTTCGTCACTGATTCCCTTCCCTTGGTTTTCTAAACTTCCTATACTGTTGATTAATGTTTGAATTTCATTGCCCTGCTCAACTTGTTTGGTACTGCCGTTGTTGTTGTTGCTTTTGTTGTTGTTGTTGTTGTTACCGTTGCTGGCATTTTCACTGTTGTTGTTATTGTTATTGTTGTTGCTGTTGCTGCTGTTATTATTATAATTGTTGTTGTTGTTGTTGTTGTTGTTGTTGTTGTTGTTGTTGTTGTTGTTGTTGTTGTTGTTGTTGTTGTTGTTATCGACAGCAGCATTAACGGTGTCGTTGTTGACGATATTGATGATTTTATTATTTTTGTTAACACCAGATGCAAACATATTACTCTCATTATTAATGCCATGTTTCTCTATTGCATCCAGATTTTTGCTGTTATTACTGTTGTTGTTTTTGTCGTAGTCGTTTGTAGTTCCGTCATTTTGAATCTCTTTCGTAACGTTTGAGTTCACATCATTAGTGTTTTTATCTTTGTTGTCGTTACTTTTTTCACTTATGATCAGTTTTCGAAAACTTTTTAAAACATTTTCATCCAAGTCGGGAATGTTTAGACTTACGGGTATTTTGGTTTTACGATTCTCCGGTTTCGACCCGTCTTTGTGGTCCATATTATCAATTAAATATTTCTTTTCGCTGTGATTATCAAGTATTTTATCCCTTTCGACGCTCAGTATTTTATCCCTCTGTGCACTACTCTCGTCACTTAATATACCCTGGTCACCTTCGTCATCATCAACTACTACCTCAGTGAAGCTTTGTTCCAGGCTATCCTTATTCAAATTACCACGCGTTATCCCCAAATTTCCTTGTCTTATTCCCACAGTATCACGTCTTACCCCTGAAACATCCTGAGTGACCTCAGGTCTTCTAATCTCATCACGTTTCATGACATCATTATCGACTTTCCTCTCATCAAACACCTCAACAATCATCCCACTGACTGGTACGATTTCACTGGATCTCCCATAGCCATTTAACCTTCTTTTAAACAAGTTTGGGCTACCCCGAGTCGTCGTTCGACGATGAACACCACTCGGCAACTTGTTTATAACTTGTCTAAGTTGCTCATTAATTGTCTTTACAAATTTCTTTGGTGGCAGCTTAAAATCTCGTAAAGATGGGTCTTTTCGAAGTTTTGTGCCGGTTTTCGAGTTGCTTTCAAGTCCTGAAAAACAAGTAGATTATCGGGATATTATTATCTGTTCCATTTAGCTGCTTGGGCTATAGGTAGCCCCCTCCCCTGGTGAAAGTGTTGAGCCCCTCTGAAAAAATTCATACCAGTACAAAGAATGTGCATTATATTTTCATTTCTTGTATAATGCGATTTTGCTATATTTTAAATGTCCTGGATTGGTCAGTGATTAAGAAGTTGTTATTGTGTTCAAAATATATAGCCTCCAAAATCCAGAAAATGGCTTTCTATCTCTAGACTTCAAAATATTTCCGGGGCAACATACCCCCGATCCCGCGAAAAGTTCATTGGACTATTATACAGTATTACACATGGATATAGGCTGGGAGTCCAAATACATTCTAACATCATAAACAAACTAGAGCAGGGTAAAATTGAACTAGAGCAGGGTAAAATTGCTTCGGCTCCTTTTCGTACCATCCTTCCCTTGACTAGAAATCCTGGCTTGTGACTGGGAAGTGGGGCATTAGATGGTAGTCAGCTTCAGAAATGTTGACAGTTATTGTAGCAAGCAAACTACATCTATATCCGCCTCCAAATATATTACTAATAATTACGAATTAACATTTTTCTAACTCTGATAATAGCTGCAAGATAGTGCTTGGTAGAATTTAAACATTGTCCACCTTCATGAAACAAGGCCATAAGGAACAATGTTTCGTGCTTTCCCCAGCTTCGGAAGACATTGCTAGGAAGCAATATTTCCTGATTTGTCCACTTTCGGGAAAAATGGTTCGGAAATAATATTTCCTGGTTTGTCCAGCTTCGGGAGACATGGCTAGAAAACAATGTTTTCTGTTTTGCCCACCATGTGGAAACATAGCTAGGAAATAATGTTTCCGTCAACAATTTTCCCAGCTTGCCCTGGGACGTTCTGCGCGAGGAAAACAGAAGTGCGCGCGCAACGATAATTACAACACGTCATTCAATTAACTGCGCGCTCATACGAATTAAGCTTGAATGAATACATTACTTTTTGCATAGCTTTTAGTTGTTGAGTACGCACCATCACTCAAATAATTGCGCGATGTTTTTACGCATTTTAATGTGCGTTGGCTTCATTGTGTTTGCCATACAGACATCTAGCGCTTGGTATGTGGTCAGGGAGCTTGCGGCTAATGAGATATGTGTTAACAGCACGTTGAAGATGGGTGGCAATGCAAATTGTCCTGTTCCAACGTTTCCTATTGTGAACTCCACAACTAACCTCGACGGAGTGGATAGATTGCCAATGGTAAATGCAATGATGCAACAGGTATGAGAAATTTTATGTAATATATGAACAACGAGGGTAAATTATAAATTGCTATTGGTGGATTTGGCAAAAATACAATACACACGTGACGGTTAAGGACCGTATTTATGAATAAACTTTAAAGGCCCTGTCACACTATTGCGTATCGTACTAGCGTATGCAAGCGTGTGAAAAATATCACTCATACGCCGGCATACGCTAGGGGTACGTTAGACATAGGTTGTATATGTTTCAAGCACGGTCGCGTACGGTGGCATACGCTTGCATACGGCAAGGCAGAAATTTTTTTTAAGCATGTTCAAAAATTTTGTGCGTATCGGACGTATGCTTTATACAATAAGCATACTCTAGGCACACCCTGAATACGCTAGAGGTACGCCAGATGTACGGTACTCATATACGCTGGCATTTCAAAGGATTTCTGTGCGTTTCAAAATTGTTTCATTAATTTTCATACGCTTCTCATACGTTTCTCTCATACGCAATAGTGTGACAGGGCCTTAACTAACATAGACAATAGGGCCATTTATACGAGACAAAATAAGTCGCGACTCACATAAGACGCGACTTAAATTAGACGCAAGTTTGTCGCATAAAATTAAAAGGTACAAAATTGTTATGTAAGACGCGTCTCATGGATTTAAGTCGCGTCTTAAATAAATCATTTTGGTTAAAAAGTCTACCTACACATGCCCAAAACTTGAAACAACGTAAATTATAAGCCTTGCATATTAAAATAAAAACAACCAAAACAACATTATAGCTATATGGCAAGTAAATAAGACTAGAGTCGTAAAGAACCATTTATATACGATCATAATTCCGCTTATATAAGACGCGTCTTATGTAAGTCGCGACTTATTTTATTCCGTATAAATGGCCCTAATGAGTTGTATTGTTATTCTAACGAGTTTCCAAACCATCTATCTTATTAACTATGGTTTGACCGAGCTGAGTTGAGGAAGCGAGAGTTTGCATGGGTTTTATATCGGTAACTAAAACCTTCCAGTTGATGTTACCTTAAAACGTCTCTAGCTAAACCTAACAATATTTTCTTCCCCAACAGAAAATATCGCCGTGTCTGACACAAGTGATGCGAATGACCTGCATAAAAGCGACAGAAGTGTGTTCCAGTGACCAGAGGTACCTAGTCGCAAAAGTCACTCAAGAGGATTGCATGGAATACTTGAGATGTCTACCTGAAGGACAGTTTCCAGAAGGTTTTAAAATACAAGCGTGTGAAAATCAACCAGCAGCCACGGGTGCAACGACCGTCGCAGGACCTGTGTTTGAAATCGTCCCACAACAAAAACAAATTGAAAGTGCCAGTGAATGTCTAAAGCAATCATCGTTCATCATTGCTGCGATTTTAGCCTTCGCTTATATGCAGCTGTAATCAACGCGAACAAGAAATGGAACCTTTTTCTCTACAGCATGCACCTAGTTTTTATGAACTGTATTATACAACTGGTAATTTTCAAAACTGGAATTGGTACGTTAAACAAGTCAATAGTATTTTGTAAACTTCGAAGTTATTTACAGAAAGCCTTCCTGCAAATTTTGTAATAAAACGCATTATAAAAAGTATTTGGAAATTTGTATACACTTCTTAATTAAGGGGCGGACCATTAGAAATCCCGGGAGGGGGGGTGAAAATTCCCAAAAAAAAATTCGTGCAAAGAAAAATGCCTGGAAAAAAAATTCGTGCAGCCATTACGTCAGAGAAAAAAAATTCGTGCAAGCAAACAGCAAAGTCATGGGCGTACCGGGCAGTTGGCAGTCGGGCAATATTCGCTGAACAGTCGGGCAATTTTAGTTTATTAAAAAAAAAAATTTGACAAATTCTGTCAATTTTGTGGTAACTTTTGGTATGTGGTATGTCCAGAAAAAATTTTTGACCCCTAAAATGGTACACTGACCGAAATTTTTTTTGGCGACGGGGGGGGGAAGGTCGCCATGAGCAAAGTACAAGTAGTCTTGAATTCGTGCAGAGGTTAAGTGCATTAAAAAAAATTCCTGCAGACACATGAGACTGAAAAAAAAATTCGTGCCGCAAAAATTTTATACCCCCCTCCCGGGATTTCTAATGGTCCGCCCCTAAACTGTGCAAGCTGAAAGAATAGAAAGTACGGTGGGAGAATGGAGGGAGGACCAAACGTCCGATATAACGGGTTTCCACGCCTATGATTCAAAAGAGGCCACAGCATTGAACTATAAATAAACTGGAAGGCTAACTTAGGGGGGGGGGGATTGAGGTACCCGGACATTTTGCCGAAAGACACTTTGCCGAAAGACACTTTGCCGAAAGACATTTTGCCGAACGGACATTTTGCCGAACGGACATTTTGCCGAACGGACGTTTTGCCGAACGGACATTTTACCGAACGGACATTTTGCCGAAAGGACAGTTTGCCGAAAGGACAACTTGCCGAAAATAGAGATGTTATTTCGTCAAAATGTTTGGGTTCCAACATCTCATGATTTAAACAATTACTCAAGCAAACATACCTGACTTTATTCAATGCATCCTTTGACATAGACTTCCCGTGCACATGGACAATGTCTCGTGACTGTTCTTGCCATTGAGAATTGGCTTTACATACAGTATAATTTACTATTTAGTCTTATGTTGACCTATGTTATTTTAACGTTATATTTTAACGGGAAGGCGCCTCGCATGGGTACTTCAGTCCCGTTCGCGCCTTTGCTGTATTTTCAAATGTATTTGTACATATTTATAAATATTAACCAATAAAGTTGTTAACCATATATGCATAACCATATTGACTATTGGTAGCTTGTTAATTTGTGCAGCGGATGACTCATTTGTTAAGAACGTAGCATTGGATTGTTTACCGCGTATTTTTGACGTCAGATCGTAAACAAAAAAGCGTATATAAAGATGACGTAAGCGAATTTCACTTCGAGAATCATGGAACACATTCACAGTTCTCGGGGAAATCACATTCATGAATGATGTTGAATGATGTTATTCTTTATATCGCGAAATTAATTTCGGTAAAGTTGTCAAAAACTTGAAAGAATATAAAACGAAACTATACTTCACTATCAAAGTTTCTGTCATCAAAATCGACAATGACTTTAATCACAGAAACTTTGACCGTGTAAGCGAACCTTTAAAGTTCAGAAGATATCTCTATTTTCGGCAAAATGTCTGTTCATCAAACTGTCCGTTCGGCGGTTCGGCAAAATGTCCATTCGGCAAAATGTCCGTTCGGCAAAACGACCGTTCGGTAAAACGTCTGTCGGCAAAATGTCCGTTCGGCAAAATGTCTTTCGGCAAAATGTCTTTCGGCAAAGTGTCTTTCGGCAAAATGTCTGGCCACCGGGGATTGAAGCCAGTGCATTATAATTTTTCTGAGTTATGAGCAGAAATACTCAACACTGAACGTTGGGCTATATATATATCAAATTGAAGCTATTGAAAAACGCTATTTGGTGTAGAAATTTCAAGACTTTAGCTGAAAGGGAAATATTGAAAAACTACAAACATAATTGCCGATAATTTGCCATTTTGCAGTTGTTTTTGTATTTTTTAAATATGTTTCTTTTCGCTGAAGTCTTGAAATTTCCACACCGAATAGCAATTTTCAATAGCTTCAATTTGATATATAGCCCAACGTTTGGGGTCAAGTATTTCTGCTCATAACTCAGAAAAACTATTTTGGCTTCATCGAATCATATGCCTTAGATCATCACATAGCAGTTAGCCTTCCAGTTTATTTATACTTCCATTTGTGTTTTATTCGAATATTTTGAAGTCGGATTCGATCTGATGTATTTAGAGTTCGGCGAAAAGCACGCGAGCTCAAACAGGCCTTTATAAAGTTTAGTCGTTTTCTGTGTCGTTTTCCGGTGTGGATATACACTCAGAGTAACATCACAAACATCATATTCACCTGAGTACACAACACCAACACAGAAAAAAATTCATTCAAGTATTTGCCCTACTTACTGGAACTGTTTACTTAACCATTAGGGACCTTCAGATTGACGTTAACCGAAAATGGCACTGCAAATCGATTGTGTCCTCAACGCCATTTTGTGTTTGTAGAATTTCGCCTGCCACGCATCTTGGCAGGTCAACTTTTTCTCGCCTGCCATTTTTGAAATATGGCTTGCTTTCGGCCGAGGGGCATTTCACTCCAAAAAAGCGTACGGGATTTTCGGATTTTTAAAAATCCGCGGATTTTTTAGCGGATTTAACGGATTTTTTCCGGATTTTTTAGTGGAATTTTGAAGAGAAAATTTGCTGGATTTTCCGGATTTGTTCGGATTTTCCGGATTTGTTCGGATTTTTTTCTGGATTTTTGAAAATCTGTTGGATTTTCCGGATTTGTTTGGATTTTCCGGATTTGTTCGGATTTTTTCTGGATTTTTTTAAATTATGGAGTTATAGAGCTAGGTATTAACGTTTTGAACAAATAATCTTAAAGATGCGGTAAAGTCCTTTCTGCACATATATTCTGCGCATCAAAACATTCCATCAGTGTGGGAGCATATACTCGAGCGTATAAATAGAAATGTAGAGTGGTCCAATAATTACGAAATATAATGACAGCGATCACGGTAAGCGTTTAGCTTTCGCTGTCCGCCATTTTGAACGTGGCAAAGAACCTTTACGAGTAAATTACACCAAGTACTTCATATATTTTTTGTGGATTTGCGGATTTTTTGAGGATTTTGAAGGATTTCTGTGGATTTTTGAAGGATTTCTGTGGTTTTTAAAGGATTTTTCGGATTTTGATGGATTCAACGGATTTTGAGGATTTCATGGATTTTTTCTGGATTTTGCCGGATTTTTTGACGAAGTGTACGGGATTTTTGGAGTGAATTGCCCCTCGCTTTCGGCCATTGGCAAGCCGCTATTTCGATCTCTCATTAAGCTTTTTATTATTAGCATGACAAAATTACTGGATGCTGATTGGTTGAGAGGAGTACAATTATTTCATTAATGACAATTGCAGTACAATTAATGATTTTCCCAAAACAAACAAAATGGCCGAAAGGTATTTTAAACACAAACGTGAACTGAAATTGCCCGAGGAACTAGATGAAATACGAACAAAAGCACCAAATTTTGCTTTAACAAAAGAACTAAATGAAAATACGAACAAAAGCACAAAATTGTGGTTGAACGTCTGGCAGGACTGGGCTTTGGCGAGAGAATATGATGTTGACATTGAGAAGTATCCAATTTTGTCATGCTAATAATAAACAAGTAACGGCGGCTCGTCCAATTTTGGAAAAATTTCCAAACATCACTCGTACTATTAATCCCTAATTGTACTCGCCATCGCACGATTACCTATACTAATTTAGCGCTAGTGGTAGTGGAAGTCAAATCTGAACCTCTATAATACATACAGCCTTAATAATTGCATTCCTGTCAAATTCTGCCCTCTGAAACACAGTTGTCGTAAAAGAGCGAATTGGAATATTTTCAAAAAGGCTAACAATGGAAAGGGGGGATAGGGCTCTTCGAACTATGCTTGAAAAAAGTCAACGGCGCTGTCGGCGCACCTAAAGCTAAGTTATAATCATGCTTAAAACGGGTTTAATCTGACTTTCCATTAGTTGCCAATCTTTCAACTTTCCTGCACGGTCAAGCTATCCAGTGACATTTGCGATCAGTGTAATTGTTCCAATTTCTATGACGTCACAAATTAGGGCGCAATTATGCAAACAAAATGAACAACTATACTTGCAAAATTTGACATCTCTTGTCGAATAGACAAGTACATTTTATCCCGTAAAAATGCAGCGTTACTTGGCATTCGGTGGCATAGTTCTGCTGGTATTAACATTTCCACAGGTGTACTGCGGCTACGAAAGCTTGTCATACATTATTCGACCACTGAATGAGAATGACACTTGTCTCAATGTCACAACCCATCCATCTACGTTCAAGGAGTGTCCTCTACCACCGTTTCCTATTGTTAACACGGATTATTCAGAAGCACAGGAAGAGGTATTTAAGCTTTGTTTCCTCGACCACGAGCACAGAATAAAGATCAATACCAGAAGGGCCACTCGGCGTGCAACGTGTAGCCATTTTTTATGCAAAAATATGCAGTTGACTGGCCAGAAGGCGGGGCCTTCAGCCAATACAGCGCGTTTATTGGCCAGAAAATGTAATCGACTGGCTAGGAAGATGGCGGCCAGCGCCTCAGAAATTTCAAAGCTTCCGACGTAAGTGGCCCTTCTGTGTGGATCTTTATTCTGTGACCACGAGGTTACATTTTCATCCATGTTTGTGTGTGTACAGTATGTATGTGTGTCTGTGTCATAGATATCTTATACACACTAGATAGCGCATCTCTTTTAGTAAAATTGAAGCCAAGAATATTCCAGCGGTTACCCCCATTTGAATAGATGGCGGCCATGTTGGTAGTTCCCACTCGCTAATAAACGCTTAAAAAACAACAATAACTTTCATCATTTGAATAGTTTAAAAATGTATTTGGAATAGGTTTAACTTAATGTTTAAGTTCCCTGTTAAAAAAACATACGAATCTTCTCATTTCATGGGAATATCCCGAGTCTGCAATCACGGCTTCGACTTTTTAATTGCAGAATAATTAGATGCACTATCTAGTGCATGTATATAAGATATCTATGGTCTGTGTGTGTTTTCCTGTCACCACGATAAGCAGTGGCGGTCTGGCGGACACTTCACGAAATATTAGGGGGGGGGGGGGTGACATTTTCGACATGTATGCCAAAGGGGTGTCCGTTTAAGCACAGAGTAGAGACATACAAAGACGTAACTAGTGTATCCACTTTTTTGTGCGCATGCTCGGCAAGTTACTAGATGCATGCATCTGACTGGATGACGACCTGATGACGACTCACTTTAAACTTGCTGAGCACGCGCAGTTGATCATTTTTTGCCCGGTCGCCTGAAAAAAAGTGGGTACATGAAAACGTAAGCTTCCGCAGTGTTTACAACGGTCAGTTACGTCTCTGTGTGTCTCTACACTGTGGTTAAGGCTCTAAGTTATGCGAATCTTTCAGAACATGGGTCACTTGATGAAATGAGTCCCGAGTTGTGCCAACAGATCATTTCAGCTAGCGACTAATTTTTCATCTACACAAGAAAGACGAAATCTATCATTATAGCTCAAAAGACCATCCTAAAATTAGTAAAATTGCAAAGTTTGATTGCGAAATGTATTACGAGCAGGAAAATGCACCACTTTTGAGCCGAAAATTACTCAAAATTTGTTAATTTCACAGGGCTATATATTTTTCGTATTTTACAACATTTCGCAACCAAACTTTGCAATTTTACTCATTTTAGGATATTTCGTCTTTCTTGTCTAGATAAAAAAATGAGTCGATTGCTGGAATCAACCATTGCGATGACGATGATATATTTCGTCTTTCTTGTCTAGATAAAAAAATGAGTCGATTGCTGGAATCAACCATTGCGATGACGATGCTAACAGGTCCCAAACATAGCAATAGCCAAGAGCCAATTGTCACCAGATTGCTACGACATGGTAGTAAAAACAATATGCATTATGTCTGTCCAAATATGCACTGCTGACAGATATGCTGTGGGAATGTATGGTTATGATGTTTGCATGCACTACATGGCATGTGGCTCGGCTGTTGTTGGCAAAACCTTACCTGGAAAAATGTGTGAATTTCTGAGCAATACCTATACCAGTACAAACTACGACGGAACCGACCCACCAACTTACTATGTGGCTGGAAATCCAAGTGAAAAAACTGGAAGCGCAAGTTCTGCATTGTACACATCCTTAGTACCTCAAATTATTATGATTGCATTGCTTCTACAACTTTTTGGAAAGCAAATATGATGATGGAGTGATAAACAAATTTGCTACATTTAATGGAATGTACAGTATATATGGTGAAAGACTTAATGCAAATTATAGTAAATATGCTATTTCAGAAACCCAAATTTTAAAAATTTCCTGGGGGCATGCCCCCAGATCCCCCTATAGCTAACTCGTGCCTGCGGTACTCGGCTCACACCTTCGCCGATCGCATATTATCCTGGGGAGAGGGCAAGGGAAATGGGCCTTTAAAAAATGCACTGGCCCAAGGCCTCACCAGAAAATCTCACTCCCCCTAAGCCCTTAATTCCGGCACCAGCTGGCCGTGTTAATATAGTTTAAGACTATACACCACTGGATGCATGGTAAGTTACATCATAAGTCCCCATGGTAAAAACATTAGTAATTTAACTACTTGGTATGAAGTTCAACACCACTCATATAGATCTTACAGTATACAGCTATTTCAATTAAGGTTGTCCACGAGCAAAGCGGAAAAGTCAAATACGAGCGCGAAAGGCTGCTGGGAACCGCTTTGAAAATTCATTAATTTGTTAGCGATTCCCAGCAGCCTTTCGCGCTCATATTCGACTTTTCCGCTTTGCTCGTGAACAACCTTAATTGAAATAGCTGTATACAGTGTTAACCCTTTAAGTGGCAATCACTCACTCACTGCATCCTACTTTATTATTTTGCTCTGTCTAACACCCCCACACCCCCACACCCCATGTTGTAGTATTGCAGTTTTGTACGCTCATCGGGCAAAAAATATGTAATTTAGTGAGGAATTGATTATACGATTTCCTAGCTAATAAAATTGATTGATTGAATCAAGATTTTCGCAAATATCGACGAAAATGCGCATTTTAGGATGTGATTTGACCGGACTAATTACTGGGTAAAAATGGTGCTTACACTCGCAAATTTTCGACAGCTGATTGCTCTCAAAGGTCTTTGAAAAGTCTTTGAAAATAGGCAGAAAAATCTTTGAAAGTCTTTGAATTGTTTTGGTCTTGGAGACTCGGAACCCTGAGTATTATTTTTGTAAATTTATCAAAAATTTTCCTACAATTATTACTAATTTTTAGAAAATTATGTAAAAATTTTTTTACTAAATTTAAAGACTTTTAAAGACTTTCTTCGCTTTTTCACACAATTTAAAGACTTTTCAAAGATCTCAAAGACCTGCATTCCAATTTAAAGACTTTTAAGGATTTCACAGACCGCTACGAACCCTGAATACTGAAAAATTGTACAAATTTCGGTAAGTGATAAACGGTACATATGTCCGAAAATTTTTTCTCTCTTCCTGTTGCCACTCAATGGGTTATTAGCAGATTAAAAAATTGATCTAAAAATTTACATACCATCATTGTGATTAAACCCCTTGCACTGAAGTGCCAGTCCAATAGTGATAATAAATAACAAGTAACACTTGATAGCCCATGTTTTAGGAATCATTTTATGACATTCACAGTTCGACAAAAAATCATTGACAAGCAAAAGGATTCATTCATCTTAACAAGCCATCCTAGGGAAAAATTTTAATTATCAAATTAAAATATTGGCAGCAGGGTGCGATAATTCAAGATTATTAGTTGTACGGTACATCGACATCCGAATTAACATTATTGCACCAGCTAATAATTGAGTTGGTACAAACTTAAGAATCAAGGCAGAGTCTTAAATTTAAATATATTTTCTCAGTATCCAACTAGGATAACAGGATTCAGGGATGGATTTACTGGGGGTTGCGGGGGGTGTACACACCCCTAGCCCTGGCCAGGGGGTGCTATTTTTCATGATAAGCAAAAAATTATTAGAGACAAAATGAGATACAGTAATTTGAGTAATAACATGATGATAAGCGAACTGTGAACAACAATTACAATTCAAATACTATAGTCAAGCAAGACTTTGCAGTAGTGAAGCAAGTTGATGGGAAGGCGGCACACAAGACCGACACAACTCAGCACCAGAGCAGGCAGAGCACCCCTGGTAAGGACCAGATCATGCTGGATCCATCCCTGCCAGGATTCAAAGTTTAATATCCTGGCCCCCTGAGAATCCCTATCCCACTTCTGGGATACTGTAAGCATTCACAGTCAGAGACCACAGAATCAGGGGAGAATTGGGGCCGGGCAGGTGCCCCCCCCCCCCCCTAACACCCCCACCCCCCAC